CTCCTGGGGAACACACTCATCCTCCTGCTGTCCACACTGGATCCCAGGCTCCACTCTCCAATGTACTTCTTCCTCTCCAACCTCTCCTTCCTGGACCTCTGCTTCACCACAACCTGTGTGCCCCAGATGCTGGTCAACCTCTGGGGCCCCACAAAGACCATCAGCTTCCTGGGATGTTTTGTCCAGCTCTTCATCTTTTTATCCCTGGGAACCACTGAGTGCATCCTCCTGACGGTGATGGCCTTTGACCGCTATGTGGCTGTCTGCCAGCCCCTGCACTATGCCACCATCATCCACCCCCGCCTGTGCTGGCAGCTGGCGGCTGTGGCCTGGATCATTGGCCTGGTGGAGTCAGTGGTTCAGACACCATCCACTCTTCGCCTGCCCTTCTGTCCCCACCATCAGGTTGACGACTTCGTGTGTGAAGTTCCTGCTTTGATTCGACTGTCCTGTGGAGATACCACCTATAACGAGATCCAGATGGCTGTCGCCAGTGTCTTCATCCTGGTTGTGCCTCTGAGCCTCATCCTTGTCTCTTACGGTGCCATTGCCAGGGCAGTGCTGAGGATAAACTCTGCGAAAGGGCGCAGGAAAGCTTTCGGGACCTGTTCCTCCCACCTCATTGTGGTCACCCTCTTCTACAGCTCAGTTATTGCTGTCTACCTGCAGCCCAAAAATCCCTATGCCCGAGAGAGGGGCAAGTTCTTTGGTCTCTTCTATGCCGTGGGCACTCCTTCTCTTAACCCTCTCATATACACCTTTAGGAACAAGGATGTCAAGAGGGCATTCAGGAGGCTGCTGGGGAAGGAAGTAGAGCCCAGCTGACACACACCCTCAGTGTGCTGGAGATCCTGCATGCCTTTATCAAAGGGTTTATGCCTCCACTCTCCTCCTCTTCAGGCCTACCCTACCACTGGAGCGGATGAGACAACACAGGACACAAAGATGAGAAATTCAGTAGAGGAGTCTAGCTATACCACATGTAATTACCACAGGAATCAGATGGAATCTCTGTCCGTCCTCTTGTGCACCATTTCACTGATTTTGCTTTTAATTCCCTTCCCTAGCCAGAATGTCGCTATCTTTTTGAAATTTTACCTTTATGTCTTTGTGTGAGTGTATGTGTGGATGTCTGAAGCAGGAAGAGGGTGTAGATCCCTGGAGCTGGAGTTACCGATAGTTAAATTGTCCAGCATGAGCTTTGTAGTTTGAACTCTGGTCCACTGGAAGAATACAAACGCTCTCAGCTGCTGCACCTTCTTCTCTCTTGCCTGGCGTCACTGTCTCCACGCTTCACTCTATTTCCCTCTGTAGTTTTGCTGCAGCTCCTTTTTGAGGTTCTTGGTAATTCTTTATGCCTCCTTCTGTTTTATTCCCCAAATATCAGCAAGGGTTAAGGGGAGACTGAAACGTAGTTCAGAAGCCCAACCGAAAAGCGTTAGGACATTTGCCTAAACTTTAGCCCGTGACTTCCAGTCAGACCATTCCCAAATGCATTCTGCTCTTCCCATACCGGAACAAAACATTCCAGTATTCTTACCTTGAGGCCAGCCTAGTGTTCCCCTTTACCAGGGCTAGACAGGCAGCTCACAAAAAGAAAAGGCTTCCCCTTAAGGTGGGCAGGACACTTTGAGCACTGGGGTTTTGGTGCCATCTACTGGCCAGATCTGGAACAGCACAGATCTACCGACAAGTCATGTAAGTCATAGGAGGGCTGCTCAGGAGATAATGTAGTTAACATGATATACTTGGATGTCTTGTGATGTTTCAGGTACCGTTGAAAGTATTTTACAACCCTTGACCCATTTTATTCTTGTAGAATTGCAAAGCTTTTTCAGAAGCAAAAACTAAGAGTTCATTACCATCTCTCAAAGTTCTCAGCCAGGACTGGCACCCAGGAGGGCAGAATCCAGACCCAACACTAAGTCCTGCCTTGATATACATAGAGCCTTCCTGGTCCAAGTGATAAGCCTCAATGTGTCCTCAAACTAAAGAGGAATCAGTCTTAGCTAGCCGTGTGTCCATCCTCAGACTTTGCCTCCCTGTACAAAGTTTCCCAAGTGCCTTAAAGCGCCCTGTGACATCAGAAACAGAAGACAACTTCAGCAAGAAATTTGAACCAGTATGTGCAAGGCTTAGTCAAGAGGAGTCACCGTAAATTTGAGGTACATTGTGTCTGGTCTGGTTTACTTCCAGGCCTCCAGCAAAGCCAGCCTTTCAAGTCTCATACTACACAATTAACCATCTCCCACCCAGATCTGTACTACAATAAACCCTCAAAATACACAGATTTATCTTCTATGTTTATATTTTTGAAACAGGGTCTTACTATGTAGCCCAGGCTGGCCTGAAACTCCCACTTCAGACTTCTGAATAGTGGGGTTAAAGCCATGTCTACCACACCCAGCACAACACACACCTCCTTTTGTTTTTAGACAGGGTTTCTTTGTGTAGTCCCTGCTGTCCTGGAATTCACTCTGTAGACCAGGCTAACCTGACTCAGATCTGCCTGCCTCAGGGCTGGAATTAAAGGTGTGTGCCAGGACTTCCCAGCTAACACAGGTCTCCTCAACAATCAGATTACTTTGAGCTAAAGGCTATAGGAAGTAAACCCCCAAGGCATGCCACCCAGCGGAAAACCAATTTTCCTTTTCTAAAGGAAATTTACATTAGAAAAGGCCTCATTCTTATCAGTGAAGAGGGCACTTACTTAAATCTGCATAACAAGTTTTTATTCACAGGCCGGTGTTTATCACACTTTCCCTGATCTCCTTCCTGTAACCCAGTTCCCCTCCACCCACTCACTCAGAAATAATAATTTTAAAAAAGACTTATTTGGGTAAACTAACTTGTAATTTCAAAAGTATGCACACAATGCAGATGTTGATAATCTCACACTTGTCTCTTATTTAGCTTTTACCTGCCTGAAGGACCTCGGGTAAACAAAGAAAAGCCTCAGGCAGGGACCCTATGACAGAGGACTTTTCCTTCTGCCACACACTCCAGAAGGTGCACACCATTTTGGTGCAGCAGAGCCTGCCAGGCCCACACACCTGTATTCCTGTGCAGTTGCTAAAGTGGTGGTTCTCAACCTTGCCAATGCTACGACCTTTAATGTCATGGTGACCTGCCAACTATAGCATTATTTCATTGCTACTTCATAACTGCAGTGCTGCTGTTATAAGTGGTAATGTAATAATATGTAATAATGTAATAATATAAATAATGGTAATGTAAATATCTGATATGCAGAACAGCTGATATGTGAGCCCCGTGAAAGGGTCATTTGATCCCCAAAGGGGTCGTGGTCCACAGGTGAAGAACGATGCACAAACTCCCTGCTCCAGAGGAGCTACAGAAATGGATATAATACAAAGGGTGTCAATGTATTTTTTTGTAAATCACATGCTTGAGAGGCAGCTTGAAGTGGAATCCACTTTTATGATTGCGTTTTGGTTAATGGAACACAAAGGACAAAATAAAGAATTCCCTGCTCTAAAAGCCTTGGTGAATAAAGCCAAAATTTGCCTATCTCAGGTGTCCTAAGGTTATGGAGTATTGTGAGCGGAAGCCGCAATTTGCAGAGCCATCTTCAAACAAGACAGGCAGAAAGAGCAGGTCTGGGGTAGCAAATGGCCCTGAAAGTCTCCCCAAAGAAGGGCCTGGTGAAATGCTGAATACCAGATGAACAAGACTGGTTTGATCGGGCTGGGTACAATGATACACACGTGCTATCCCAGCAATCCTGAGGCACGTGCAGGTGGAGTTCTGAGCTTGAGGTCAGCCTGGTCTACACAGTGAGTTCCAGACTAGTCAGGGCTACTTAGTGTGGGCCCTTCTCAAAGAGAGAAATACAGAGACAGGCAGACACACCTGGGTGATCAAGAGGGAAGATGCATGCTGTAATGAACACTGTCTTTGTAGAAGGCAGATAAGCCTCAGGGAATTATGTTTCCAGATAAACTTGTAAAGATATATTTACTCTGTTCTACATGTGTTTTCCCCAGAGTAACAGTCCAGTCTACCCCTGAAACCTAGCACAGTAGAATGCAGCAGAAACAGTGCTGTGTGACTTCCAAGGCTTTGCTGAAAAATACGTATTTACCAGTCTCTCCCACCTCCAAAGACACTCACCTTTGGAATCCAATTTACTACATCACAAGAGTCAGATCACAAGGAAAAGCCCTGTGTGGTGGTTTAAGTCCACACCCCAGCCACAGAGCCTGCTAGTCCCAAACAAAACCCACCTCTAGGGGTTATAAAGGACTTAGAACCAGGCTCCCTATCTTCAAACCCGCAGGGTGCTGTGTGGTGTGGACTTCCCGCACTGTGGCCTATTTAATGCTTAGCCCACAGAAACAAATATGTTGCTGTTGTTTAAGCTGTTGTGGGTACCAGGCTACACAGCAGTCAATGCATAGTCTGGATGTTGGCTCCACTTCCTATTGCCGACAAGGTTCTCCCCCATGTGCAGTCTTCTGGCCAAGTAATGAGCCTACAACCTCAGTCTGTGTGAAAAGTTCCATCCCAAGGCCCCCCTCTGGGAGTTGCCCCAGTCCAGACTCCATTCCACCTCCCAGAAAGCCCACCAAACAGTGACCCCTCCCCAGAGAAGCTCAAGACCACGCCCACAGGGTATTTAAACTGACCCCCAGAGAACAACACGTGTTTTTTTTTCTTCCTTTTCAGTCTCTATCCCTGGGGGGGCTGGAAGGCCCCATAAAGATGGAATATACAGAGAATCTGGATTATGTATATTATGTTTTCTTTGAATTTTTTTGACTGTGAAGGAGCTAAGTACAGAGACATTGTATGGGCTGCTAAGCTAAACCAGCACAAATACTATAAAGGTAGCTTGACTTCAGAATTTGGGGCTAAGGATATGTTGCTTTGGAAAAGAAGCTGTGGAATCCTCCCAGAATAATGGGGTTTGATGGACCAAGATCCCCTGAAAGGATGCCTTGAACACCCCTCAAAAAAATTACTTCACCAAATAAACAGCAGGAAGCAGTTTTGGAGAATTACACCCATATTCCCAAATATTATTTAAAATGTTCTTTTACAGGCTGGATAAATGGCTCAGAGGTTAAGAGCATTGCCTGCTCTTCCAGAGGTCCTGAGTTCAATTCCCAGCAACCACATGGTGGCTCACAACCATCTGTAATGGGGTCTGGTGCCCTCTTCTGGCCTGCAGGCATACACACAGACAGAATATTGTATACATAATAAATAAATATTTTTAAAAAATAAAATGTTCTTTTACATTTAAAGGGGGATATGCTATAGAGATTTGCATTGGTATGGATCTTGGTTTATTGATACAAACTTAAAGTCAATTTTGTCATATGTATATTTCTGCTCTTGATTAAGGTATTGTAATTGTGTGGTTCATTTAAAATATAATGTATAATTAGGAAATATAGGTTAATAGATAATCATCAAGTTTGTAGTCATGTTAGTTTTTCCAGATGTACAGAAATGTATTTCAGATGGATATGCATTCTTCAAACCTTTCAAAGACTACAGAATATTGCATTTAAAATGTTTCAGAACTTAGGGGCTGGAGAGATGGCTCAATGGTTAAGAGCACTGTCTGCTCTTCCAGAGGTCCTGAGTTCAATTCCCAGCAACCACATGGTGGCTCCAAACCATCTGTGGTGAGATCTGGCGCCCTCCTCTGGCATGTGGGTATACATGGAGGCAGAAAGTTGTATACATAATAAATAAATATATCTTAAAAAAAAATAGAACTTTTCATGACAATGAGACACATCTTTTCCTGGCAGCACCAATTACTTGAAGAGGAAGATCGGCATCGAAGAGGCTCCTTATGAAGTTGGTTAGCCATTTGGGCAAGCCATTTAGACTGCTGAACTTGTCTAAAGGTAAGACCATCCTTCAGGGTTCCTGCTTCATGAAAAAGTCTGCTAGATGGATGCCCCAATGGTACAGAAGAACTTTGGGTGACTGTCCAGGTAGCCAGAAGTCTCTGTCAATTCTAGAGTTTTAGAAGTTGCTTACAATGCACTTCCTGTTTACTTATGTATTATACTCTTCTGGAGTCTTTGATGGGGTTGAAGAATTTATAGTTATAGTTTCCCTTAGTTATAATAAAAGATAAAGTAGATATAAATATTATAACTGTAATTCTTGCTTGACACCTGTTTTTCTATATGTATTTTTTCTGTATTAAAGTTAAAACCTTCCTTTTTATTTAAACAGAAAAGGGGGGGTGAGGCAGGATTTCCCTCTGTAAGCAGTGATTACCATTGGTTAATAAAGGAACTATAGCAGAGCTATAGGGGAACAGAGCTAGGTGGGGAAAACTAAGCTGAATGCTGGGAGAGAGAAGCCATGTAGCCCCACTGGAGAGAGAAGCCGATACTTTACCTGCTAAACCACAGCCGCATGGAGACACACAGATTAATAGAGATGGGTTAAATTAATATGTGAGAGTTAGCCAATAAGAAGCTAGAGCTAATGGGCCAAGCGGTGATTTAATTAATACAGGTTCTGTGTGATTATTTTGGTTCTGGGTGGCCGGGATGAACAAGTGGCCCCCTGCAACATTTCTGTCAGCTCTGCCATTTGGCTGGGATCCTGCACTCTTGCTACAGAGTCTGTCTCACCCTTGGCTATAATGGAACTTCTGACCCTTGATTTACTGTACTATTCACACCCCACTGATGTGCAATGCAGTTCTGAGAGGGATAATATTGGATAACATTGGTCTACCCAGAGCTGGTCGGTGCCTTGGGCGATAGTTTCTGAAGCCAACTATTAATTTCTACACTGCTGGTTTCTCTACTCCACAGGCCTCCTCTCCTTTCTCTGAAAAAATTCCACTGCAGGAAGAAGGGAACTCAAATTAAATCCAATCAGTCCAAGGTAGATAATCACTATGGGTTGTTTTCAAAGGGGGCCTAAGATTTACCCTGCCATAAATAGGACAGTGAAATGACAGGGCCCCTCTAACCCTTGTAGATCATGCTGAGATGGGAAGAGCCATCATCATAAAACAAAACAAACTAGCACATGAATAGCTTCAAAAAATGCCAAAAGGATATATATCCATTCATGTTTTTTCTTCTTCCCAGCTTTTCAAACTTTCAGCTTGATCAAAAAAATCTTCCCAAGATACTCAGACTCCCTTAGATGATGATTTTGAAGTCTGGAGGCACTTATCTAGAACCTGGCAGCCATTGTTCAGTTGTGATTTCTGCTCAGCCAACTGCTCCAGGACCTCAGACCATGGCCACCACTGTCGGGGAATCCAGGAAGCAGCTGTAACAAAGGCTTCCACGGCCCAAGCAGATCCAGGCACCGGAAAGTGTAATTATCCTAGCTCTTGTATGCACTCCATGGAGAAATGCATCGTCATTACTGTTATTACCAGATTCCCAAACGTGGAGGAGAGAGATTAGGAGACATTTCTGCACGCGGTGCAGGCCTGACGCTGGCAGTCTGACTCCAGAGCCCACATTTTAACCACCAACGTCATCACCCACTAATCAGGGCCTTGATCTTGTCCTGCTTTGCCCTGCCAAATCCTGCATGGATCTCTTTGCGCCTCTCCACTTCAAAGCCTCTTCATTAGCTGCAAGCCTGAGAACCTGGGCTTCTCCCTTCCTGGCCTGGCGTCCAATCAGTTCACTGGCTGGGGGTGAGGTGCTGAGTCACACTGTTCCCTGGTTTATTGAGATTCAGGGAGATCCTTCTCCAAGACACAACACAGTGTGAAAGGGACACTGCCTCCTGTCCCTTCAGTCCGTCTGTCCACACCTTCATTTGGTTAGGATGTGGACCTACTATCCACTGAAAACAGCCTCCAATCTGTACCCATTTCTTTTCCCTTACTTCTGAAAAATAACAATAATGACAATAAAGAAAAGAAAACTAAAATGAAATCTTGAGAGATAATTATGAGTACAGACAGAGGGTGGTACACATGAGAGCAAAGAATCCAGGGAACATTGAGAGGAAACATAATGCCAAGGAGAGGGATGGATGGCCCAGAACACAAATGAACTGGGGAGAATGTGCTTAACATGTGCATGTTGGGTGCACATGACTCTGGTGGGAAAAGACATGACATCAGGGAGGCAGACAACTCAGAAAGTGGAGTAAGACAGAGAACTGCCATTAAGACAGCCAGGGAAACACACATACACATGATGTTAAGGTGCAAATAAGTCAATATGCAATGCACTGGGTGGCACAGGTAAAATGCAGAAAGATGTGGCATGCACAAGGAAGACAGCTTAGTGTGCTCAATGTATCACACACACTTACCGGAGCACACCGCAGCACAGAAAGACATGATGTGTGCACACGAGGAAGACAGCTTAGTGTGTTACACATATCACACACACTTACCCGAGCACACCACAGCACAGAAAGGCGTGATGTGTGCACATGAGGAAGACAGCGTAGTGTGCCCAACACATCACACACACTTACCCAAGCACACCACAGCGCATATCCACAACCACTGTCACTCACAGGTGCAGGGTATTCAGCGAGCACAAGTAATGGTGCATGAGAAAGCACTCTGGAAACACCACACTTGGAGGATGGGGTATGAGACAGGATGTGGGAGAAAAATATGGTGAGCTGCCCCTCTGGGGTTACAAGTGAATAGCTTCAAGCAGGGTTCAAACCAAACTGTGAAGTAGCGATACAAAATTATATGAATGAATAAGAGAGAAAACAGTCTGGTTCCCAGAGTATTGGAGACCCAAATAACTCCAAACGCACAGAGTGACATATATTTATAAGAGGGGGATTGGAGCATGTTCTCCCAGTTGGAGATAGGAGTCCTTGCCCTCCTCCCAGTCCCCCACCCTCTTCCCACACCCTTCCCTCCCCTACTGGCCTTATCCTTCTTGATACCCCCTCACTTGTAAAGCAAATGCACTCGACTCCCATCACAGCTAAGTCGGTCAGGGGGCTCCGAGGGTCCCCTGGGGAGGCCCCCAGAGGGGTCTGGGGGTGTTGGGGGGTGGCGCCGTGAGCGGAGCTGTTGCCGAGACTGGAGCTGATGGCGCAGTTCAGAGACACGCTCCTCTTTCTGGAGGAAGAAGCACAATTGGGAGTGTGGGAGGAGGGTGTGGAGTGGAAGGAGGGGAAGGGAGGAGAGGCATTGAAATGGGATGTACGGTGAGAGAAGAAATTAAAATTCGAATCAAGAACAAAGAAAGCCACAGACCGTAAAGGCACCAAGAGAATAGATCAAGGAAATAAGTGAATTAAAAAACAAAAGGAGAATATATAAAGATTGCATCAACCAAGTTGGAATGTCACCCTCCACCCCCAGTACCACACTGGTCCCTAACTGCAGCCTGGACACAGTGGACACTGTGGGCAGCTGCCTAGAACCGATATGCTGTGGCCATATGCCTTACCCAGCACCTGTGAGTGTGGGCTAGCAATGGCTCACAATGGCCTCCCCCTAACTACTGCCAATAGCTGCTCTTTTGCCACAGGAGGGCTGAATCTATAGTCCCCACTTCAGAGCCTCCTCCCCCTCCCCAGGCTAACACTAAATTTTCTTGAGACTGAGTCTCAACCCTTCCCCTTTCCCACCCCTGCTCCCTTACAGGTTTTATGAGGTCTGTAAATCACCAACACTTGAACCTGTATCTCAGGCTCCACTTCAGACAGCCCAGCCTTAGACACAGACCCCAGTAGTCACCACATACCTCAGCAATGATCTTTTCCAATTCACGGTTCTCTTTCTCCAACAGTCGGGACTTCTCTTCCTCGTTGTTGTTGGTGGATGACCCTGTCTTCATGGTGTCCTGGGCTTCGGACTGCCATTCCCCTCGGGTGATCAACCTACGCATCTGGGGGCAAAGGAGCTGTGTGAGCGAGCACCTGGTAAAGTGTTGGGAGTGAAGAGCAATGGAAACCCAATAAGGACAGAATGGAAGTCCTGGTTCTGTCTAGGCAGGGCAGCGGGAGAGCCTGGCCTCACCTTGGGCACAAAGAGCACAACCAGAGTAATGTAGGAGGAGAACACGATGGCCAGAGAGGCGAAGGCAAAGGCTGCGTCCTGCTGGCTGGAAAGAATCATGGTGACAGGAGCAGTGATGAGACACAGGACCTGGAGAGACAGCATTTGGGAGACTCAGATCCAACACCGGTTCAAGTGGGGTGCAGGGTTTCCTTCCCCAAAGACAGAGTCCGTGAAGGTGAACTCCTGGGGAATACTGCACGAGTTCAGGACGATCCTCAACTTTAAATAGCTAGACCCAGGAATAATCTTCTAAACCAGTTCTCAGCTCTAGACCAATGCTTCCCTCAGGAGCTCTGCATTCAGTCCTTAAGACTACTTCACTAGGTAGGTGCAAAATGATATAACGTAGTGTGATTTCTTTTCATCTTTTTTCTTATCTGTCTATATTACATATGTGTAGCACAGGAGAACATGTATGGACACATGCATGTGAATGCATGTACATATGGAGGCTAGAGGAAAACCTTAGCTGCCATTCCTCCTCCATTCCGGTTTTTCAGAGTCCTTCGCTAGCCAGAGGCTGCCTGGTCACTGAGGACCTATGTGTCTGCATCTCCTCAGCACTGGGATTACAAGGACATGTCATTACACCCAGCTTTTTCTGATGTGTGTTCTAAGGACCAAATCCAGTATATAAGTTGTCTTGGAAGCATCAGAACCTATTCCCCCAGCCCCAAAGTAGTGTTCTTTCTAACCTGCTGTGTGGTTATATCCTCTGAATTGAAGCATCCCTTTCCCAAAGAGAGGAAGACCTGTGAAACTCAATTAGAAGACCAAGAAGGTCTATCCCCAAAGTTATAAAAGCAGTAACTAATTCCTTGTGAAAGAATGCTGTCTTGTGGAACTGACTGTAAGTCGGGCAGCTAACTCTAGGTATGCAGTTACCGTGAGCCATCACCCATGCTATAGTGGGCTTTTTAGATGGTATAAATGCCATTAACTCCTTCATGTTCCTATGGTAACCCAACAAATGCACAGATTCGCCAAGTGTGATGGTCAGCTTTATTGATTTGACAGCGTCTAGATTCTAGACTCTAGAGTCACTCAGGCGATTATAAATGAGGGATTGTCTAGATCATGTCAGCTTGGTCTGTGAGCATATTGGGGGGATTATCTTGATTTCTATTGCTAAATGATGTGGAAGGACTCAGTCACTGTAGAGGGCACCAAATCTGAGTGTACGTTCGCATGCATTTATTTCTTTTTGCTCTTGGCTCTAGATGACTTGCTCTTAGCTCCTGTGTTGACATCCCTCGTTGCGGAACTGTAACTTGGAACTTTGACCTAAGATAAGCCCTTTCTCCTCAAAGTTGCTTTTTGTCAGGGTATTTTATCACAGCAACAGAAATAACAACAGGATGCCAAGTTAGACTTGATAGAGTCACTTCCTTTGTCTATTGCAGTGCCCTATCTAGAGTGAACTGACATTTTGTTCACATCTCTTCAGGGAAGCAACACAACAATGACGTAATAAATCAGACATTAACCAGTGTTTTATGACTTCTCCACTAACACCAGGTGTCCAGGGAGCTTACCGCAACATTGTAGATAGCCATGCCCACGGCCCTGTGGTCATTGATCTTTTCAGTGGAAACACTTTTGGTCTCATAAGCAAGAAAGATTCCCAGCAGCAGCAGCAGCCCCTTGTAACCATAGAAAATGCCTAGGACAACAGGAAAGTGTCCTGGGCAACAGGACCGTCACACTCCCAACTCAACCCTCCTCTTCCTTGTCCTTCATTTACTTCTGCTTTGTGTAGCTCCTCTGTGCAAAGGAAGCTTTCCTCTCCATTCCAGCCCCTCTGAGATAGCAAATTCTCAGCGTGGCCCCCACCCGTATGGCCCAGACCTCACTTCAGCTTCCTATGGAGCAGCTAGAAATGACCCAATGGATGCTACACAGTGTCTCACTCTTAGCCCGTCAGGCAGGAGCATGCAATCCTGGCTAAGGGTTTTAGTTCACCGTGTGAATCTGTAGAACAGAGGAATGTTAGACAGGCTGAAGAGAGGCTAAGCCTTGGTCCTACTCTCAGGAGCTGGCGAGTAACAGATGGGTGGGTCACCCACCTGCACTGGCCTTTGCTGGGCATCACTACTCACAGCAAAAGACCAAAGCTCCCCTACTCTAGTGCAGTGCCAAGGGCATTGAAACTGTCTCCAATGGTCCTTCTCCCCTGGTCTCCTGCTGTTACCCATTCCTCCTGCTTATGCGTCCTCCTTCCCCTCCTCCCACCCACAACCCACACACCAAGCCATGTATTCATCTTCCTGGAGCTGCAGTGTTCCAGCTGGGGCAGGATGGATACATCGATGTCTTCCTTTGGTTCCTCTTTGGCAAAAGTCTGATGGAGAAAAAGGAGCAAAAGGATGAGTGGCCATACTCTTTTCCGGCTCCTGAACCCCCAGCCCTGCCTGTTTTCCCATGAGACTCAGTACTGCATCAAACCCTATGCCAAGCCTGGGGACAATTCCCTGAACACACCAGAAAGACTTGTTCCCCCTTTCCCTGAAGTTTGGAAACCCTACACATCCTCCCAGTTCCCAACACATCACTTCTCTAGATAAACCAAGAGGTTTTGATAGGGCTCCATCTGGGAAAGATAGAAGAACCCTGGATATAAAGAAGACCGAGAAGCTCCCTCCCTGAGTAGCCTCCTTTTCTTTTTAAAGTCAGGGTCTCACTATGTAGCCCTGGCTGGCCTGGAACTCACTATGTAGACCAGGCTATGCTCAAACTCAGAGCTCTGCCTGCCTCTGCCTCCAGCGCTTTAGGATTGAAGGTATGTGCTACTACACCTGGCCTTCACTAAGTAATTATATACTTCAAACCAAACAAAGCCCTGAAGATGCCAAGTTGATAGGCCCTGTTCAGCTTCCTGATCCCAAAAACTCCTCTCAAGTGATAGATACCTCGATGGTTCGGTGCAAGGGGTCCACAATCTGCCAGATGGCAAGAGTCAAGATATCCATGCCCACCAGCAGGCCTACAGTGGCATACAGTTTCCAGGGCTCTAGAGTCTGAGTAGATATCCAGAGAAGGCAGGTCAGAGAGGTCATCTCTGTACTTGGGATCAAAGGCTGGGTCTGGGAAGTCACTCACCTTCCTCCATTCCTTCTTCTCCTCCTTCTTTGTAAAGACGGTGTGGACCCACCAGATCTTGGTGAACATAGAGCCATAGCCCAGACTGAAGCCCAAGCCCAAGAGCCAAAGGCGGGCCTAGAAAGGGAGAAAAGACACTGGCAATAGGTGGGACTGGGCCCATGGTGGAGGAACTGCAGGAAGCAATGTGAACAGTGACCAGATGACAGAAGACAGGCAGAGTATGAAGAAACAGAAAGGGGAGGCTGGGACTCCATCCTTCTCTACTGCTGCAGCACCAAGGTATTCTTGCTAAAGACTCCTAGTCTAGTGCCTACGGTTACCACCTGCACACCTCTTAATGTGACACAGTACAGCCCAACCACTAGCCAGGACCTCACCATCCCTGTGCCCCACCCAGCTACGCTGAACCACTCAGCCTCCCTCATCCACTCTCTGATCTCATGCACCGTCCTGCAAGGCACAAGCACCACCTCCTTCCTGGGGGCCACTCAGACATGGAGGGTGAGCTGCTTCCCTTCTCTTCACCCACAGCACTTTCTGCAGATCCCTCCTTAGATGCATCTCCTAGTTGTCTCTCGTGCTGCATGCTGATCCCACTAGGAACAGACACGTCCTGAGGACATAAGTGCACGTGTGTGTGTGCGTGCACAGTGTGTGATCAGGACAGAAGCACAGTGGAGGAAAGAACGCCCGTGGAAGGAACCAGGGAAAGAGTGGATGCTTCACAACAGCAGAAAACCAATCAGACATCATTGAAGCCAGCCTAGCCCCACAGTCCCAGAAACTCCATGAGCCAAGTGTCCCCAGAGACCCTCCTCCCTCTGCAATGATTCGTCCCTTGCCCCGACTCTATCTGTTTTGATTCTGCTTTCATCCTTTCAAACTCCAACCAAGGCTCCCACGGGAAAGCCCAGTTTTGTTTCTCGGCCCACACACCACAAACAAGCCACTATTGTTTGTAAGCTCTGTGTGCGGACCCCTCCTTTTGTCTTCAGCGCTTCACCCCTCTCCTCTGCGAGGCATGCCTAGCAACCTTGCAACCAGCCAGGGAACCGCAGAATGGAAAAGGTCTGGCACCCAGAAAGAAGGGATGGAGCCAGAGAGAAACCAAAAGGGTGACGCTAGGAGGGAAGGCAGGGAGCGGGGGACACTGGTCAGGGAAAGAGAAGAGACAGGAAAGCCATATTCTGCAAGGTCTACACTGGCCCTCTGTCTACTCACCTGGCAGACAAACGGGAACTGGCCTTTCTTTATGTGGTACCCGTCCAGCCCAAGGGGGAAGACAGCAGCTAGTGCCAGTGAGCAGCCCACGGCAGTCAGATTGTTCAGGTTGGGCTGGGAGTTCTGGATATAACTAGGGCAGAGGCGGAGAGGGTGGGAGAAAGAGCAGAATTACCCCATCTCCTCTAGGGAGGCTTGGCTCTCCAAAAATGCCATCAACAGTACAACCCTATCTCCAGGGTGGGTAAAGGAGACAGACTGGGAACAGACAAAAAGATACTCAGGATAAGTTGCTGGGCCTCAGAGCTGCACCTAGGGGGGCACAGGACTTCTGCAGCATAAGGTTGTATGGGCATACTCTAGTTAGAGCCCAAGATTGTGCTCTAGGCCTCAACTGTTTGTGTTTTTCTAGCTGATTACTCTGAAGCAAGGGTAGGGGGTCATGCCTAGCACCCCCTCACATTTTTGGAGAGTCATCACGCTCCCACTTTTCTTACTCTTCAGGAAGTATCTTCAGTACCTTGGAGAGCCAGCCAGGCCAAGGATCAAGTCGGAAGAGAGACTTACCGAACGTGGGAGTTGTAGATGTTAAAGGACAGACAGACAACAGCGAGAACAATGCCCAGGCTGGAGAGAACTGAGACGGAGATAAAGAGTTTCTGTGACAGGAAGCGGAATGTCTTGATGACCAAGGTCTGGTCAGCTGGGGGAGACCCTCCTGCACGGCACAGGGGAGGAGGGGGAAGAAAAAGAAGGACGGACAGTGGCATGAAGGCAGGATAGGAGAAAGGGGTGAAAGGCAAGCTGCTGGGGGACACTCTGTGTCAGCGGAAGACACGAGGCCCTCAAATGCACTTAGGGGCTAAGGCAGGAAGAAGGCTGGAGGCACTGGGGACCTTGAGAAACAACCAGAAAAGGAAAAGATAGGGTCTGCGCTGAGGGTCTCTTTGATTGATTACATGTTCTTTGTTTCTGGTTTTTAAGACAAGGTTTCTCTGTGTACCCTGTCTGTCCTCCTAAGACTCCCTTTCTAGACCAGGCTGGTCTGGAACTATCTATCTGCCTGCCTCTGCCTCTTGAGTGCTGGGATTAAAGGTGTGTGCGACCATGCCTATCTTTGATTGTTTGTTCTTTTTGCTTCTCCATCTTACAGGAAAAAGACAGCTAAAGAGGAGAACAGCTGAAATAATCCTATATAGCCCCCATTAAAGGTGCAAAAGACAATCACAGACGCAGAAAGCCAGGAGAGTCTCCAAGTATCCAGTGTGTTCTTCTAACCTCCAGCAAACAATACAAGAACAACCCTGGCAGGGTAGTACTCCCAAAAAGTGTTTCCAGTTACTATTAAGAGAAAGCTCAAATTTGTCAGAGGTGTGTGTGTGGGGGGGGGGGATGATGATAAGCAAAACACCTACTTAATTTCAATTTGCTTCGTTTAAAAAAAATTAGAAAGCCAATTTAGGCCAGGCAGCATTTATAACTGTACAGAATACTGCCCTAAATTCAAGCTACAAAAATAAATAAATAACAAAAATGAAGCAAAGCTTAGACACACAAGCTCACTCAGTAGTTGAAGCAATGCTTGGGTGCTGAGGCAGGAGGATTGACACAACTTTGAGGTCAGATTAATCTACAAAGTGAAAACCTGTCTCAAAATGAGTAATAAAATAAAGTAGGGAACTGAAGAGATGGCTCAGCAGTTAAGAGTACTCTCTGCTCTTCCAGAGGACCCAGGTTCAGTTCCCAGCACCCATGTCATTGGTCGCAACCGTTTGTGATTCCAGTTCCAGGGATTCTGATGCCCATTTCTGGCTCAGGCACACAAATGGTACACATGCACATATAAATGTAGGCAAAACACCTATAACATAAAAATTATTTAAACTTAATGAAGCTGGACTAAAAAATGACTCAATGGGTATAAGCAATTGTTAAGCCTGGCAACATTAAATTCAATCTCCAGAGTCGGGTAAAAATGGAAGGAGAAAACCAACTCCACAAAGTTGTCCTCTGACCACCACAAGAACACCATGGCATACTGGACACACAGCATGAATATGGACATGTACACCACACACGCGCGTGCACGCGCGCACACACACACACTTCACTGGGCAAGGCAGGTGGCAGCTGCCTTCAATGGCCTTATCATTCTTCCTCATCAGCAGGAACTTCCTTTTTGCTAACCTCCAGTGATTTCTTATTTCTTATCATTTAGCATACCTGGATTAAAAAGTGTGTGGCAGGCTAGGTGTGGGGCACATACCTTTAATCCCAGCACTCAGGAGAAAGAAGTAGGTGGATCTCTGTGAGTTGGAGGGCCAGCCTGGTCTACAGACGAGTTCCAGGACAACCTAGGACTATGTAGTGTGACCCCACCACCCCCACCCCCACCGCGAAAAGAAAAGAAAAGAAAAGAAACCTGCAACATTGCAGCATAAACCAGGCATGGTAGTATACACCTGAAATCCCAACACTCTTGAGATCCTGAGGCAGGAGGATCATCCTGAGGTCAAGATGAGCCTCGACTTACATAATGAACTCAAGCCCAGCCTGAGATACAGGATGAAGCTCTGACTCAAAAAAAAAAAAAAAAAAAAAAAAAAAAAAAAAAAAAANAAAAAAAAAAAAAAAAAAAAAAAAAAAGAAAGAAAGAAAGAAAGAAAGAAAGAAAGAAAGAAAGAAAACAACAACAACAAAGATAAAAAATAAAAAACCAGAAACAAAAACTGGTGAGATGGCTCAAGGCATAAAGGTCCTGATGATGGAGTTCAATTCCCAGGACCCACAGGGTGGTAGGAGAGGCCTCCTCTGAGTTGTCCTCTGACCTCCACATGCACACAAAATGAATATATAAAACACAACGGGAAAACAAACAAAACATATAAAAAAAAGCAAAGCACAAAACAGTCCATAAGAAATGAAATTTTGTTTCCTCTACTACAGTTAAGCAGCTACTTTCCTGACAAGGACCTGGAGTCACTGTTCCTAACGTACCAAGGCTGGAGGAGAGCTTCCGTTTCTCACTGCCTCTCATTCACTGCAGCAGAGCTTTTAGAAACAGGGTGACCCCGGGCCTCCCCTTCCTTCTTGGAGGCCACGTTCACTCCCAGTCCCTGCTGTGACCCCCTCCTGCCACTCCGCATCCCCCATGCCCCCATCCCCGGCCCATTCAAAAGTCTGACAATGATCGTTCAGAAGGACCAAAAGAGAACTCACCAATCCACTTATCTGTTTTGGACCAGGAAAGGTCATCCTTGGTGCTGTCGTAGTAGCCAATCTTCTTGTAGCTGCCACCTGAGCAAAGGACTGGAGTTGTCAAGGGCAGGGAGATGACACCCTAGGCCACTGACCTAAGCAACCCAAGGACCCAAGGTCTCCTGGACAGGTAACTTAACTTCACCAGCAACTTGAGGTGCTTCCCGAAGCAATCTGAATACACAATAGAGTCCTTAAGGCATTTAAGGCTCTTCCCGGAGGAAGGCTCCTTGCCCGGCTACCACCTATTCTACTGCCTCACACCTCTCCAGCAACGTCTCTCACTTTGATTCTGGCTTCCAAAGCTTTAAGCAACTTCTGCCTAGCCTCCCTCTTATGATGGACAGAATTACAGGATCTTTTTTTTTTCCCCAGTGGCTTTAATTTTAGAAACCTCTCTCCCTTTGGCTTGGGTTCTAATGCTTTGGATATGTAAGATACATCTGTCTCTTAAAGTGCCACTAAGGGAAATGCAGTCACTCCTAAGAAAAATCTTCCAGAATGACCACAGTTAATACAACTTTCCTTCCAAACACCACCTCACACCCACTTCACCCTGGCTGACGTCCAGTCTCACTTGCCCCACATCCTGAGAGGATTTGGTTGGAGAGGTGCGGAGAGAAAGAAACTTTTTACAGGCGGCTAAGAAATGGGTCTCTTGGCCACACCACAAGGAGCTGAGTCAGGTGGAACTGGAAGATTAACTCACAAAAGTTCTGTAGACTCCTCAGTGCTAAGTTATACGGAAATGCCATCTAGGAAAGGCCAGCTATATGTATGACTGGAACATTGTTCTCTTAGAGCAAGGAACTGAGAGAATTCCCTTTAAAAAGAACCAGCTTCCTAGGTTCAACTTTCCTTAATCTTTCAGAACACACTAAGAGCCCTTAACTCCTCAATCTAGCCTGAGGCAGGCAACTTCTGGGACTGAAACTGAAGCCACTGGGAAGAAAGAACAGCTCTTTTTTATCTGCATCGCCCTTTGAAAGAGCAGAATCACTGAAAAAAAAAAAAAAAAACCTACCCAGGACTGTTCTTTTTATCATTGTTTAAAGCCTGATGAGCACAGGGCAAGGCAGTCTTGTTGAGATGCCCAGCCCCTGCCTGCCCCTTCCCCAGCCTCTCAGGCCCGAGCTCACCCTGCAGCTGCTCGATGAGTGTCCACGCCATCCGGGAGCCACTGGCATCAAAGACCACATGGCCCTGAGGAGAAACGTGGAGGAAGGCAGAGAGATGAAAGCAGGAGGAAGAGAGAACATCAGGGACTCTGAAACCTTCTGTTTTTGATGTAATTGAGCTTCTGAATGAAGGCTATTTATGGCATCTGCTGCATATAGGACACACCCCAGATGCACATACCCCAGATTCTGGAAACAGTTTTCTTTTGAGAAGAAGCTTCACCCTTGAGATCCGAGTGAGACAGTCCCCAGAGAGAGGGACAGGAGCAATCACCAAACCTTACTGGGCACTAATTTCCTCACTTTAAAAGGAACGAGGAGATTAATTTTCAAATTGTTATCTCTTTTAAAAACCCTACCCTTCTCATCTGACTCGTAAACACCTGGACCAGGTTGAAAAGCACTAGAATACAGTAATTCCTTTCATTGTCATCTTTTGTATGGTTCTCTGGTTTGGGGATCCCTCTTCCCATGGTCTATGACTGACTTTACAGAAAAGCAACTGAAAAAACAAGAGAATGTGTGCATCTAGGGGCCCTCCAAGGTGTCCCTTTCCATGACAAAAGCTGCTGTAACTCACAGAAACACCCTCAAAGGATGAGGAGTTCATGGCCCGGTAGATTTGGTCTGTGATGGTCTGGTTGTTGTAGTTAAAGTCCTCCAGACGCACGCCCGACCGGCCACCTCCTCCGGAGGTCTTGTTCAAGGCCAAAGCCAAGGCCCAGATAGCATCATAGGCCAGTGGTGCCTCCTGGAAGCCTCCAGTCTCCTCAGGGTGTCTTTTCAGCCTCTTGGTTAGTTTCTCCACAAATTCCTGGGAGGTCTGGATGAAGGAAGAACAAGAAGAAAGCATTGGAATATGCGTGGGCACAGGGGGAGAGGCCTCAGTTCTGGCTCAGACACTGTGACTCGAGCGGATGGTTTGTGTTGGTGTTGTCGGGTAGACCATATGTACAGATAAAATCGTTAGCTATACCCATGTGTCTGTCTTGGGTTGGAAGCGACAAGACTAAAGCGGAATTAGCTGGGTCCAATGGTCTTAAGAGTATACAGCTGCTAGCTCAGAACTACAAACAGAGAATGCTAACTCAGAACTACAGAGAAATCTGATGAATAAACACTCTGGAAAATGAATGGCAAGGGAGAGGAGCAGAGACAGAGCCAAGGAAAAAATGGATATCGCAACAAAGAGTGGCAGAGCTGGCATTCTCCCAACCTTCAGAATCCACAGCAGAGCTGACCCAGGAGCTAACAGCTCCTCCAATTTTGAAAGATCCAGAAAAGGCGACGCCGCAGCCTTTCGCACTCTGCCTGCCAACCAGGAAAATTGTTCTTTAGGGTGCTAACTTCTTGCTATCCTGGTAAGACTTCTGTTTGCTGCCTCCTTAAGACTGGTGACAGACATCGGAAATACCCTTCACATCGCAGAGGTCCAGATTCAGTACAACTCACATGACTCTTGGTACTCAACCTTTTTCCAAGAAATCTAAAAAAATGGCAATCCTTTAACTCTCATGGATGAAGAAAACCATACTTGACTTCATACTTATGGGTGAACGAATTCCTGAACTGCCTTCCACATAACAGAGAACAATCACACCCTCCCTTCCTTACCACCCAGAAATACATAGGAAAATGTTTAATCTCTTCTTGGCAAAACATGTGTATGACTTCGAATCACTACAGATAATTGTTTGGGTTAGAACATTCACAGGTACACTTTAACGAAAGAACGATATATAAATGAAGAATCTTTGCTCCTGGACAATGAGATGACTCAACACATAAAAGCACCTGCTGCCAAGCCCGAGCTGGAGTCCTGGGACACACACAGTGGAGGGGGATAACCAACAGCCAAAGGTTTCCTCTGACCTTCATATGTGCACTTTGGTGCGGCACACATACACAAAATAAATGGAGAAAATGTAATTTTTAAAAACATTGACGGGTGGTAGGGGCACATGTCTTTAATCCCAGCACTCAGGTGGTAAAGACAAGTGGATCTCTGAGTTCGAGGTCAGCCTCGTCTACAGAGCAAGTTCCAGGAGAGCCAGGGCTATGCAGGGCTATCCTGTTTTGGGTGAAATTTTTTTAAGCCTTGTTCCCATGCCCCCAAAACATTTTTTTTCTATTGTTTTTTTAGAAACAGCCTGGGCCTTGAAACACAAAGGTCAGGGTCAACTACCCTACAACAGGAATAATCTCCATTCCTCTCATAAACATTAGTAACTAGCATCGTGCGCAGCTCACAGTGAACACTAAAAACACCCCTAGAACTCTGTGCACTTCATATGACACCATGAAGGTAGACACGTGTCACATGTACCCATAGAACGCAAAACACCAACAGCTGGCACTAATAGAAGCCATGGGCTTTGGGCAACAATGGTCAATTGATGAAGACCAACTGCAACCAATATACTCATGCAGTGGTGGAATCTGACAGTGGAGAGATTTAACCAATGAAAAGGGTATGCATGGAAAATACGGGAACTGTGGACCCTTCAATTCTGCTGTGAATCTAAAACAATAACATTTTTAAGCAAAAAGAAAGTCCACTGGATGGATAAGTAGATGAATGGGTTCTAATTCTAATTAAACCACTTACCTACTAAGAAATCTCAAGCAAGTTATTAAATCTCACTAAACTGGCTATTCAGCTTTAAAATGGGAATAATACTGTGTTAAAGAGCTCCTGTAAGGATTAAGTAAGAACACATAAAATGCTGGGTATGAAGTATATTACACTTCTCCCTGTGAGTTTCCCTGGCTGCACCCGCATCTTTGTTCCCAACGCTCAGGCCTGTAATTCTGGCCCAACACCTTAAATATTACAGGTCTCATTTACTCTAACTCATTGTAGTTATACATGACCACTGATTTCAAATTCAAAGAAAATACGGTGATGGCAGTGCCCGTAGTCCAAGCTGCTTATGATGCTAAAGGAACAGGGCGGGGGTGAGGGGGGCACGGACACCTGAGTCTGAGATTGTAAGTTCAAGATCAACCTGAGCAACACAGTAAGACCCACCTCAGAGAGAAAGACAGACAGACAGAGACAGTCCACAATGGTATACACCTGTAATCTCGAACTTAGGAGGCAGACAAAAACAGCAGGATCTCAAATTAGAGGTAATTCTAGTGTACACAGCTAAGTTCAAAGTTAAACAGAGCTACCACATAGTAACACTCTCATCTCGAAACAAAAGGAAAGGGGAATGGGCTGGAGAAATGGTTCTGTGGTCAAGAGCACAGATGCTATTGCTGAGGATCCGTATAACTCCAGCTCCAGAGGATTGATATCTCTGGCCTCCACTGGCATCTCTATGCACATACTCAGACAAACATAAATAATAACATAAAATAAAGACAGAAGAAGAAAAAAACAAGATACAAAACTAAGCTCGCTTTTTCCTCACACTCCCACACTCTTCTGTGCATAAGACAGAAAAGTAAACTACATATTTCCAAATCAGCAAATCCTCTTAACCTGTTTGTTCTAATGTCTCCTTAACACCATCCCTCTATATACAGGAGGAGGAAAAAAAGGCTGATGATGGTGGTAACATAGATGGTGATGATGCTGGGAAGGGGTGGTAGGGGTGATGGTGATAGCTAACATTTGTATAGTCCTTACTTTTTTCCAGGCACATAGATCAATGAATTTAATCCTCAAACATTTCAATGAATGGGCTCTATTATTGTATCTATTTTAGAGATAAGGAAACAAAGACGCAGGGTCCTGTAACTTGCCTGAAGTTACATTGTAGCATGTGGCAATGCTGGGACTCCAGCCCAGGGTGTCTGGCACCAAAGGCTGAGCTTATTGTGCAGTACCCCGAGCTTCTTCTGTGCTGAAAGCCTACGCAGGTATGAGTGCCCACAGTCAGCAGAGAGCTAACACTTTCTGAGCAGTTAGTCCTTCAGTTTTCAGGTCTAGCCAATCCTCAGTTCAAAGTAAAGATTACATCAGAGAATCACCATATTGGGAAGGGATTAATCTGCTCAGCATGGTATTATCCCTGCTTCTCAGCTCACTCAGGACAACACAGCTAGCCAAGAAGAGCAACACCAAAAATCATGACAAAACAATCCTTCCCCTTTAGTCGGCAAAGATTATGGTTCTCTCTCTCTCCCTCCCTCCCTCTATTTCTTTCTTCCTTGGTGGAGGGTGTGGGGTTGGATATATATGGCCTTACACCTGTAGCTAAGGCTGGCCTCAAATTCACCATTTCCCAGACATGGTGCTTAAAATTCTTTCTCTAAACCAGGGTTTCTCAACCCCCCCATGCTGTTGACGTCCTTAGCAGGACAGTCTTGTTGCTGGGGGCTGAACCATGCATCACAGAACGTTTAGAGGTGCCCTCCTCCTCACCCTCCAGACATTTTGCAACCTCTTTTGAAAACCACTGCCCTACAGTTCTCATGGGTGACTGGATCTGCAGCATCAGAAACGAAACCCTCAGGTCCCACCCCAGATCTACAGAAAAAGTTCTGTCACCTAGGTACTAACCTAATTTTCCAGGTGGTTCTGATGGAAATCTGGGAACTGATCCAAACACACCTGAGGCCATGTGGGATGAAGGCAATGGTGCTGTTTCTCTACGCCTCTATGGTCCCACTCTGCCCCTCAGCCCACCCCTTGCCCTGATCCACTCACTTCTTTTGATGCTACTTGACTCACCTGTAATCTTCCTAGTCACCTGGAAAAGCTGCTTTTCTCCTCTATTGAAAAATCTAGGCTTTTCCATGTGACATTTTTAGCTGGGGATTCAAGAAGGTTCTGTGTGCCTTTGAAAAAACATACTTTCTCTAAAAACGGAAAACCAGAAAGGACCTCTGCCCCCAACATCCCACCCCGAGACCCAAGATCCCCAAAAACTCTAGGCTCTCGTCAGTTCCGTTTCTGTCCTCAGTGTCAGGCAGAGTCCTAGGGTGGTAGGCTGCGGACTTAGGACACTAATAAACCTTCCTGACTTTGGTAACCTGCTCCACCACTCTGGGTTCCAGAAAATGACTCAGCTTTCTTGTCCTGTGCAGGGAAGTGGTTGACCAGTGTTTCTTCGCTGTAATTTTTAATTGAGATAAATTAAACATAACATCCCCTTAGAACATTTTAGAGCACAGTTTATAAGCAGAATGTACATGGCAGCCGGCCCTTTATCATAATCTACTGCCAGAAGTAGATTCTCAGATCTCTTTTCTCCTTGCTAAAACACTACCATCATCTGCACATTATTTGCACAGAAAGGTGTAAAGACTTTGGCCAGGCCTTGTGCTTTTCCATGGGAAATGATGGGGCAGAGCAGGTAAGTTCAACACAACGGAGCACTAGGAGATACAGGGTCCCAGGACAAGTCACTAAGCCTCCCCAGTTCTAGTTCTCTAGCGCAAAAGATAAAAATAACAAATCTAGTTTAGAGTATTGAGGTTAAGATCCTGAAATTACATAGAGCATATCCTGATTTTCCTCATAAAATTAACCATTATTAAAAGCTTCATTAACTCACCTCTCTGAAATCAGATATTTCACAGCCGGAGTTACATCAGGTATAAAGCAGACATACAGGTTACCCCCACTGACCTATCGAGATCCCTGCACTGTGGGGTACGGTGCTGTATACAGAAAGGGTCTCTTCCACACAAACCCACACCCACTCCCACTCCCACTCAAGGCTCCACACACGGCTACCCTGGTCCTCCCAAATCAAAAGAGAATACCTTCCAGCTTCAAGTACTATCACTAGAAAGTTATCTGGGGTTAAAGGGTTTCTGAAGTCTCATTTACATCCAAAATCTTAAAAAAATATATAAAACTAATTTTACATCAATCAAAGTGAACATTAACGGTGGGCAGTGGTGATGCATGCCTTTAATCCCAGCTCTCAGGAGGCAGAGGCAGGAGGATCTCTGAGTTCTTGGCCAGCCCAGTCTACAGAAAGTTCCAGGACAGACAAGGCTACACAGAGAAACCCTATCTTAAAATAAATAAATAAATAAATAAATAAGTAAATAAATAAATAAATAAATAGTGAATATTAAAGCCAGACATGTTAGCACATGCCTTTACTCCAAGTACTCTGGAGGCCAGAGGCAGGGGGATCTCTGTGAGTCTGAGGCCATCGCAAGCAAGTTCCGAACACCCAGAGGTACAAAGAGAGATTCTCTCAAAAAAAAAGGGGGGGTGAATGAATATTAAGCAACTCTCTGGGGTACTAACATAAGTCACACACACAAATAATAAATAAAAACAATAATAATACATAAAAACACACCTGTGCCAAGAGAAGCTCTCTGGAAAAGGTGTGCCTTTGGTGTAGGTACAAGCTTCTATATTACCATTAACGCCTCTCCCTCACTTGGCTTCTCACCAACTGCTCCTTGTCTCCATGGTAACAGCCCTTCCGCTTGTCAGAAGCCTACTGTACATGCCACTATTTTCCTCTCTTGCCCAAGGAAATCGCAGCACAGGCAGAACCAATGAAACACGGCGCAAACAAATCCAATATGGGCACAGGCCCCTTTCTGCCACCGGACTCCACCGCTGACCTCTCTTCTTCCCTTCCCCTCCCCTTCCCCGGTGCTGATTTCCAAGCCCCCACCCTCACCATGTTGGAAATGCTTCTGGTGTTGGCAGGGTTCAGCATGACGATCTCAGTGGTGATGTGGCCCTCCACCGCCTCAGTCATCTCATCCACTGTACAGTTGATTGACGGGTCATAGGTCTTGAACCAATTGTCAGCATACCACCCGATGAGGAACCAGACATACTTCTTCCCAAACAGCCGTTCCTTATAGACCTGCATTCGAAGGGGGAAGGGAGCGTTTGAGGTTTGGTTTTGTTCTGAGGGAGGCGGTATTATCTCTCTAGATACTGTTTAGCCTCTTGAGAATCAAAGAACAGGACTTTCTTTTTTTAATCTTCACCGAAATCTATTACTTTCTATGCTAACCTAAAAATTTAATAA